CCCAGCCAGCATGGGGAATTCTGGGAGTTGAAGTCCACACGTGTTGAAGCTGCCAAGGTTGAGAAACACTGGTACAATGGTCGACAACTTTGTCCCATGCCACCAAGACTCCTCTCCCTTCCTGGTTTGTTACAGTTTGCTATGCTGTGGTTGACTTCAGAAATATTGCAGGATATTGTGCCCAAGAGAACCAAGAAGAGATGGGTGGGTCAAGGTTGCAGCAATGAGATGGAATGCAGGGAATATCTTAAAATGCGGGTTGCTGTTTGATGTTTAGATGGTGGCTGATCATTTGCTTATTTCCTGCTTCAGACTTTTTGATGAGGTTATGGGATGCTTTTGTGACTCTCCTCCTCAAAGCCCCACCTTTCCTGAATCAGGACACCCATCTCTGTATGATGAAGACAAGGTACAGTATTCTCTTCTGACAGTTTTTGATGATAGAAGCAACTTCTTGAGTTGACGGGGTGGGAGGGTAAATTAACGGAGCTGTGGAGAAGAAGGTACTTTGGAGTGTGCAGGAGAGTGGATGCAGTTCATTAAAGCAGCTGTATCTTTTCTGGGATTCTCCAGCACCTTCTGATTACTTTTTTGCCTTTGAATCTGAAGGGATGTGCTGCCCTAATATTTAGCATTCCTTGTTTCTGACGATGATAGGATCTCACTGGTTCCAGGTCAATGAGAAATGGAATCATACCCACCAAGGTGTTACGCAAGATTACATGAGGCCTATTCTCAGCTTAGGGGTTGGAAAACCTTTCAGGCATTGGGTGCTATTGCACGAACGTGTGTGATGACATGGCCCACAGTTTTGAAAAATGACCCCATATCTTGAAAGACTGTCTTATCTCTTGAGATGCAGAAATCTCATACAGCAATGTCAACATTTGGTGAGCTCTTATGTAACAATAGTCAGCAATTGTATGAGATTTTGGCCATATATTTATTTTATTTTTGGTAGCTATGAATGCTGTCTAGCTGGGTCACGAATGCCCAAATGTGGCACACCAATGTGCTGGTGATTCTTGCTTTGACTGTTTTTTAAAACAGCCAATTTATAGAATTGAGGGAGACATACTGTTCTAATCTAAAGTACACACAGTCATTTTTCCAAAATGTTGGATGCTATAATAGGGCCTCCATTCCACCTGCAAATGTTATGAAGCTATTTATTTATTACAGCATTCTCCTCTCCCCCCACCACCTGATTTTCTTTGAACCATAGAGTGCTAGAGATGAGCCTATCCATATCCTGAATGTCGCCATTAAGACTGATTGTGACATAGATGATGAAGGTCTTGCTGCCATGTTCAGGGAATTCACGCAGAGCAAGGTAAGTTGCGGGCCCTTCTTTAGTTATTTTTCTTCAACTGTTTAGTGAAGTGGAATGCAGATTTTATCCATGAATGCTACAGTCTTCCTATTTTTTTCTGACCTGCTCCCTTGTGTTTAAAGAAGAGTGGGACAATGGCCTCTCTTTCTATTCTGGAATGGTCATTGATAGCACCATAGAAAATAATAACATGGGTGAGCAGTTCTCTTGTCTGAGCTATTTGTAAATAATTGTAGAAGTCACTCAGGGATATCACTTCACAACTGAAGAAGCGTGCCATCTGATTAGATCTTAAAAGGTAGAATCTCATTTCTCATTTTTTTTACTCTACCAGGAGAGGAGCCATCTTCATGCCAAGACTGACCTTGTTTTGCAAACCAAGGGGACAGGGCAAATTAGACCTCTTTGGAGACCCTATTCTTGGTCTGTTTAGACAAAATAGAAAATTAAATCAACCTAGGTCCCTGATTTGGATGAAACAACAAAGTAACTGCAAGGGTTGGCAAACTTTTGGGATCCCAAGTGTCACTGGATGATCTCCTGTGTTGACTCAACCTGAAAGTAGTGTAATGGTGTAGAGAATAAGGAGGATGACCTTGACAGAGATAGGCAAGATCCGTTACCAAAGTGGCAAGGGGAAAAACATATACAGTGGTACCTCTAGTTACAAACGCCCCTCCTTACGAATTTTTCAAGATACGACCAGCTCCG